TAGGAAGATAAGGGTGACTTTTAAGAAAGAAGGAGTAAGTGATTGTACAATGATGATAAGGCTATATACCATCCTTTTACTATCCAAGATTTTTTTAACATCAGAGTTCCAAATAATAGCAAGAATTTATAAAAATGTATTAAACCCTAAGAAAAAAAAACTCAGGATTTGTAAGTATTTGGCAAATTTTATACTAACACCAAGAGAATAAGGAATATTTTTCTAGAGCAATTAAACATGAATTATTCTAAATTAAGGGATATTAGCATGTACTTTATTTAAAAAAAAAGAAAAATCTTTTTTTGGCTGTCAAAATTGTCATTTAGGCATGTATTTCACAGTAATTACTTGCCTTACACGTATCTAATATAAAGTAGCCACTAAGAGTCCCAAAGTAAGAGTACAGCAGGGTTTTTCAACCTCGGCACTACTGATATTTTGAATCAGGTAATTCTTTGTTGTTAATGATACCCTGTGATTATAGGATGTTCAGCAGCATCTTCGGTCTCTACTCATTAGATGCCAGCAAACTCCCCCCCCCCCATTATAACAATAAAAAACATCTCAAGATTGTCAGATATCCCTGCTAAAAACAAAATCAGAGAGCCCTTGCACAAATAAAATGTAATTGTTTTGCAAGTCATTGTGCTTCTTCAATCAGGAGCATTTGGCTTTTCTTTTTAAGTGATAAAATTTAGAACCATAAGATTGTGAATTTTTTCCAAAGTTTACCATGGAATACAACCTATAAACTACTTACAGATTATCTCTAATGTCCTACTTAAACCCTCAGAGGATTTCACATGAGAAATATTAATAGCTTGTGTCTATTTAAGCCTATCTATGTGCTAGGTACAGTACTAAGCACTTTATGTCCATCCTCTCATTTTACACTCATGACATCCTCATGGGATGGCAATTAAGCACACTGTAGTAAGAAATCATCTTAAATTCTACTTTAATGAACTTATCAAAGTGTTTCCCTATTCACTATCATCACTCTGGCACTTAAAGAACAAGAAAGTACCATGGCTCGCTTAGTTTGTAACCCATGACAAAAAAATTCAATATATATGGTGACACAGTAAGGTGTATTACAACCTTCAAGAGCTGGGGAAATGTTTCCAGCACCTAACAAATCAGAGAGATACCAATGATGATTTTCTTGAAACATTTTTTACTACTATATCATAATGAAAGAGTAGCACTTTTTAAATTTTTCATCCATGATTCCTTGAGTACTTCCAGGAATATTTCTCCCCTTTGCACCACTTGCCAAAAAAATCACTTTATAATCATTTGAGGTTTTTTTTGTTTTTGTTTTTATTTTTAATTTCAACCTGTCTTACAGTAAAAACTGAAGGCGAGGTGCAAATCCCAGCTTGTCCAAACCACAACCTATCTCTGTAAGCATTTATTTAGAGTCTACTAACAAGAGCCAAGGAAAGACGTGATAGGGACAGTCAGCCCAACATTACACCATGTCTTCTGTTTTACTTTTCCTTGTGGTAAAAGACACAAACACCTTTCTCATAAAGAAGTGTTCCTTCCTCTCTCTTTTCACCCACACAAGTAACTGCCAAGAAATTTTAATTCATATTTCCTTCTAAAAGCGGGAAGATAAATTGGAGTCTTTATTCTCAACATCACTAGGCATGTATATAATCCATGTGTTTAAGTTAACTGTCACCCACCCAAGTTCGTATTATACATTTTATGGATTATTCACAATTATGTCATTTACTAATAAATACAAGTTCATTAACATTAACCTCAGTATCTGTTTGGAAACCAAATCTCTAAAAAGAAACCATCTTTGACTGAGAATTAGACTAATTCACTGCTTCCCTTCTTGGCAAACAGACTTACTACAGCAGAATCTTATAAATCAGTAGATAAAATTCAAGGTAACACAGAAAATTCTTTTATTTCATCTAAAAGTTTAAATATAAAAAGATCCTCAAAAAGCTCACCTGCGGCCGGCACCATGGCTCACTGGCTCACTAGGCTAATCCTCCGCCTTGCGGCGCCGGCACACCGGGTTCTAGTCCCGGTCAGGGCGCCGGATTGTGTCCCGGTTGCCCCTCTTCCAGGCCAGCTCTTTGCTGTGGCCAGGGAGTGCAGTGGAGGATGGCCCAGGTCCTTGGGCCCTGCACCCCATGGGAGACCAGGATAAGCTCCTGGCTCCTGCGTGGTGCACCGGCCGCAGCGACCATTGGAGGGTGAACCAATGGCAAAGGAAGACCTTTCTGTCTGTCTGTCTCTCTCTCTCTCACTGTCCACTCTGCCTGTCAAAAAAAAAAAAAAAAAAAAGCTCACCTGCAAGGCAGAACCAGGAACCCTCAGATTAGACCTATTGATCATCTACAGTACTATAAAATACCTACTGAAGTTGCAAGTAAAGGTTAGTGACATGAAAGTATGTCAGTATAACATTCATACTTTAGCAATATGAACAACAAACTATTTGGGTTCTTCCTCTTTAGCTTTATTTCCTGCATATTTTATAAAATAATCAACTTCATGTGTTCTAAAAATATTTTACTGTCACTGTTCAGACACTATTTTTCACAAGCTAAATTTGTTTATATGTTCTTAAAATTAATTTCAAGCCAAAACAGAATAAGGGTAGTTAAAATTTCTCTAAAAATATTCTGAAGCATAAATAAATTTCAAATTCTTCAGCAATAAAAGAATATTTAACAAAATCAACAAAATATAACAAAAATTAACAAAATGTAAATTAACAAAAATGTAACCAAGTTACTTGTTAATGTTATAAAAAGAAAAAAATAGATTTTTCTGCCCCTTGAATATATTGAAAACATTATGTATCCTAATTTTCTGAAGCTTAAAATTCCTGTAGATACAAAATCTACCAATAGTATTGTTTCAAGATGTAAAAAGCAGTTAGAACAACAAGCACTCTGAAAACAAGACATGGAATCTTTACTCCAGTGAATGATAATTATGAAAATAAAAATACATTTTGAAAAAAGTCCCTAAATAGAGCCAGGCCAAAGAAATAAACACACACTTTTTAACTTGACAAGTTCAACCTCCTAACCTTCTTATCTCATAGTAGGGAAATCAAGACAATTTAAACTGGAGCATTAGAAATTTACATGAAAATGTCAACTCCATCCTTTTTTGTTTCAGTGCTTGGAGGAGCATAAAGTCAACTGTCAGCAAATGTGATGCCCATTTTTTTAAAATTTTACTGCATCCTTGCTACCAGAATGAAATTAACACCTAACTGATCCAAGCCCTTCGCATAGTTACTCATTTAACAACTGGGACGATTTGCCAGAAGAGGGAACCGAGGCACGGAGAGGTTAAATACTTTGTCCAAAATAACACAGCTGAACAGTGCTGGTGCCAGGGTCTGCACCCCACCATATCCAGCTAACAAATCTTCAAAGTGGTAGGAGGGAGAAGTAAAATTTTTTTTTCCTAGCAAGAGTGTGGCGAATGAGAACAAAACGTTTAGATGATAAATGCAGACTACAATAACTTTACCCCTAAACAAGTACTTGGGTGCTATAATATTTTATTACAAACACAACTACATCAAATCCAGTGGCGGTCAACTGAGTAAAGGCAACAATTTACTGTCAGTGTCCCATACTGAATTTTATAGGTTAAATAAAATACATTGTAATTTAAAGACGGGGGGGGGGGGGTGTAACCAGAGCAATAGTTCAAGAAAAGAGTGTGCGTGTTTAGGGACGGGGGTAAGAAACTGAAAGATGACAATCACGCTGCCTTAAGGCCGCCCTTGCCACTCCCCCCTCCCGAAAAAAAAAGTAAATTATGGAGGGTCAGTGCCTAAGCCAACTGGAGAAATGGCCCGGCGGGATCTCGAAAGGGGATGACAGGAGACCCTCTCAGAGGGGGAGGGGTGGCGATGACAGAGAGGCAGCGGTGGAGACGGCGTGCCTCCGGTCCCCGGAAAAAGGGGAGAACGCGGGGGACAAGGGTGGAGAGCCAAGGCAGAAAACGTTAGCCCAGGCTCCCAGTGAAGTGAGCAGGCAAAGAGTAGGAGGGACCCTCCGGCAGGAAGGGGTCTGTCTGGGGCAGGGGAGGCATGCCAGCGCAGAGCTTTCCGGCCAGCTGACCCTCCTGCTCTCCTGCCCCCCACCCCCACCCCACCCCCGACCAACTCTCACTTTCTTAGCAACCCTCAGCCCGCGGGTCACCCTCGTCCTGCTCCCTGTCCCCCCACCCCCTCCGCCCCCAACCAAGCCCGATAGGTAGATCGGAGGGCATTACCCTCACCCTCCTTGTTGGGCCGGAGAAGCAAGCACCGGGCACTGCTCAGATCGGTGGACGAGAAGGCCAGGAGACGCAAAGAGGCCTAGGACCCGGGTGACAAGTCGTGGCGGCCGACGGGCGCCTCACCTGACAGAAGCGTCGGCAGTAATCCCGACTGCTGATCCCGACACCGCCGCCACCGCCGCAGCTGCCGCCGCCAGCGCCGCCTCTGCCATCGCCCGCAGATCTAAGCCCCACGGGGCCCGGCGGGGACTCCACAATGGCTACGAGCTCTTCTCCGAGGCGTTCGGCCTCTTGATCGCTCTCTTCCTCCGCCATGAGGCTCTCGCCGCCCAGCGCGTACCAGCCCCTGCGCCGCCGCCGCTGTAGCTGCCTCGGCTAACCTCCTCCTCCTCTAGTTCCCTCCCCCTTCCCTCCGCCCCAGCCGGACAGGGGCCACTTGGTTGGGCTCTACTTCCGGCTCCGCCCACCCACGCCCCCAGTCTTCATTGGAGAAATACAGTCGCCAATCATGCTAATACCCGCCTTTCCACCTCTATTGGTCAAGTAAACTGTCTGTTTGACAGACCCGCCGTCTGTTGGTCAATGTTGCTCGGCGGTTGTTGGGGACCGCCTACGGGCTCTGCCATAGGCGGTGCAGGACGACGGGGCGCGGCGGGGGACACGGCGGCCGCCGCGGGGCTCGATCGGGCAACGGCGGCGGCGGCGGCGGCGGCGGCGGCGGCGGCGGCGACGGCGGCGGCGGCGGCAGCAGCAGCAGCAGCAGCAGCAGCGACGACGGGTCTTCCTCCTCCTCCAGCCCCTTGCCCTCTTTTCCTTTCTCCTTTCCGGCCGGATCTCGTCCACTTCCCCTAACAGCGGCCCCAATCCTACGGTACCGAGGCGCTAGGGAGGCCGAGGGTGGGCCCGGCCGTTGGTGCGGGCTGTGGGCCCGGGGCCTTCCGTCCCGAAGTGGGAGCCGGGGGCGGGGCCGGGGCGCCGTTGTCGGCGGGAGGAAGAGGGAGGAGACGGGAAGCCTGACAGCGGCCGCCTCCGTCAGGCGCCTGCCGCCTCCTCCCCTGAGACCGCCGCCAACTCGCCGTCGAGTTCCCGGGCCCACGGCTGGCAGCTGGGACTCGGCCCTGCCCTGCTGGCGGGGTCGGGGCGGTGGGGCGCCGGCGTGCGGCGCTCGGCGCGGGAGGAGGGAGTCTAGACGCCAGAGCGTCCCGCGCCGGGCCTCGCCCTCGTCCCTCGCGCCGAACCCCGGGGCCTGGGCAGCGGGAGGAGGTGCAGAGCCGGGCTGAGGGTCGGGAAGCAGGCGTGCGGGTGAACGTTGGGACCGGGTTTATGGTGCGGAGTTACCTGAAGAGAGCACTTTTTGGAGACACACCTGCGTGGTGACTGGTGTTGACGTACTTGTTGGTCTTTTCATCCACCCTTCTTTCCCTCCTCCTCCATTTTTTCCTTCCATTTGCTTTTCCTGTTCTGCAGTAAAGGCATGACTTCCTGGCACCTCAGGGAAAACAGGGTACAAGCCCAGAAACTATTTCCCCACCACCACTTGTTGAAAAACTGACCTGAAGGCGTCTCCGCGTTTGATCAAACGGGAAAGTGCCAGGATTTGATGCGTCTCTGGCTTTGTGCTGGAGACCATTCCCTGCTGAGTATCAAGACGAAAAAAACTGGAAACTAATCCGGTAAACATTTAAACTTGAAAACTTTTGACGAGTTCTGTTTGGTCTGGTGAATTATTTGCTGCTTTTGTCGGCTAGCTACTTGTTAACTTCCTGGGTTGTTTATAAAATATTTTCTATAGAAAACACGTCTCTTGTTCGGGTTCGTAAAGTCGAGCATCCTCTACTGGGTGGATATTTGCCTCTGCAGTACCACAAATAGAGTTTTTGAAAGTTACAAGACATTGGAGAGCCTGGACCTTTCACATTAGCACAAGTCACTGAGTGTTTTAAGCTGCAAAGAATTATGGGACTTGTTTATTGTGTTAAAATTTGAAATCAAATATTTTAGGTAGAGTAAGGTTTAGGCACTATTGAGTGTGTGTGTTTAATGTTTTTAGTAATTACCTTAGAACTATTCATCATAATTGAGACTGATTTGCTGGAGTATATAATACTTACCCATTAACTTAAAGTGCAAATGTGTAATAATTCCCTAAGTATTAGCAAGAATCACACTGCCATTGCAAACCTATTGCCCAACAATATTTGGCAAATGAAAGCCATAAAATTGAAAAAAAAATTGTGACAGGGAAAAAATGGAACTAAGTCTACTAAAACTTCAGCTTTATCAAGTAGTTTCCAGAATATTTGTGAAATGTTAAGTATCTAAGAAGGGTCCATGGGTGTTAACACATTTGAAAATTTAAGGTTCTTTTGAGTTAAATTTTATATTACCCAGCTATTCTCTACTGTGAATTAATGGAATACTCTATTGTTTCTGATACAAAACAGTTCTTCACAGCTTACCTAGTAATGAGTTTTTTCTAACATTTACACAGAACGTAATTTCATCTTGAATTCTAACAAATACATTTTTAAAGATTTTTTTTTTTTTTTTTTTTTTTTTGAAACAGCACAGAGAGGGAGAGGCAGAGAAACATCAGGATCTTCATCTGCTGGTTCACTCCCCAGGTGGCCACAATGCTCAGGGCTGAACCAGGCCAAAGCCAGGAGCTTTTTCCAGGTCTCCCACGGTGTAGCAGGGCCCCATGCATGCCCTTAGGCCATCTTTCCTGCTTTTCCCAAGCCATTAGCAGATAGCTGGATGAGAAGTGGAGAAGCAGCCAGTACATGAACCAGAACCCATAGGAGTTGCTGGCATTGCAGATGACCCCTAACAAATATGTTTTAATATCTTAAGTTGTTGGTATTTACAGAATTTAGACCAAAGGCATGGCCCCAAGGAACAATTAAAGACTTACAGGGGCTGGTGCTGTGGTGCAGCAGGTTAACGCCCTAGCCTGAAGCGCCCGCATCCCATTTGGACGCCAGTTCTAGTTCCGGCTGCTCCACTTCCGATCCAGCTCTCTGCTGTGGCCTGGGAAAACAGTGGAAGATGGCCCAAGTCCTTGGTCCCCTGCACTCCCATGGGAGACCTGGGGGAAGCTCCTGGCTTTGGATCAGCGCAGCTCCAGCCATTGCGGCCAATTGGAGAGTAAACCAGTGGCTGGAAGACACTCTCTCTGTCTCTCTCTCTCTCTCTGTGTCTCTCTCTCTCTCTCTCTTTCTCTCTCTCTCTACTTTTCCTCTCTCTGTGTAACTCTGACTTTCAAATAAAGAAATAAAAATCTTTAAAAAAAAAAAAAGACTAATCATTTGTCACTGAACGCAGTGTGGTAATTGTCTCAAGTTTCCAGTGTCTGTAATGTTAAAATTTTGACAGAAAGTCCAGTGACCATAAAAGTTTATTATTAGGATATACTCATAAATTATTAAGGTGTTTCTAAGTAAGTAAATATTTGTACAAAGAATGAAAATACTTACTTTTTCCATTAACAAGTATTGATTGAAAGCTATCATATTACAAGTCACTATGTTGAGGTTTTGATTTGGTCTAATGTACTAGTTAATAAGTGAAATAAATATAAGTATTAGTCTTTAATGGAAAAGAAAAAATATTAAAGTGCTTTCCTGTATTACTGCCTTTTAGAAAACTTAGGAGAGGTATGCATGCATTAAAAAATAACATGGGCTCTGTATTTTGGCTTTAATTTTTAATGTCAAATGCATTTGATCTATGTTGTTTCTTAGTTTTTAGTTTTTTCCTCCTCAGAACAATTTTGGAAATTATATTCATCTTAATATAGAATTATCCCAGTTTAATGACCTGCCTATTAGAAGTAACTTTGTTACCAATTGAGTCCTAAACTCAGTTGCCCCAGAATTGAAATTTTTCAGTTACCCCATAAAGAACCTCTCTTAAACTGGAATACATTATCTACATTGTATGAGACTTAACATGTTTGGTACTCTAAAATATGGGCCTGTGATTAGGTTTTTCTTAAAAGATGTGTGAGATAGTTGCAGGTTTTTTGCCATAGTCGCAATTTACTGAATTTAATTGAAGAGAAATCAAGGAATGGACCCATTGTTAATAGTAACTTGCTCTAGTTTTGCTTTCCTTTACATATTTTAGCTAAGTTGGGATTCATGGATTCTTTAATCTTTGAGTGTTTATACTCTGCCTTTTATTTGTGTAATCATTTCCAGAATGAACTTGTCTTTCTTATCTTTGTTTCTCTTTTGAAAGAACCGAATTCAAAGTAAAAATGGAAAGATTTGTAGTAACAGCACCACCTGCTCGGAACCGTTCTAAGACTGCTTTGTATGTGACTCCCCTGGATCGAGTCACCGAGTTTGGAGGGGAGCTGCATGAAGATGGAGGAAAGCTCTTCTGCACTTCTTGCAATGTGGTTCTGAATCATGTTCGCAAGTCTGCCATTAGTGACCACCTCAAGTCAAAGACTCATACCAAGAGGAAGGCAGAATTTGAAGAGCAAAATGTGAGAAAGAAGCAGAGGCCCCTAACTGCATCTCTTCAGTGCAACAGTACTGCGCAAACAGAGAAAGTCAGTGTTATCCAGGACTTTGTGAAAATGTGCCTGGAAGCCAACATCCCACTCGAGAAGGCTGATCACCCAGCGGTCCGTGCTTTCCTGTCTCGCCATGTGAAGAATGGAGGCTCCATACCTAAGTCAGACCAACTGAGGAGAGCGTATCTGCCTGATGGATATGAAAATGAAAATCAGCTCCTCAACTCCCAAGATTGTTGACAAGGAGGTTCCACCATTGTGATCAAGATAAATAATGTGGAGTATTAAAGTTATGTGTTGATTGTGTGGTTCATTTTTATATTTATTTCATTTAAAATCATGTGATGCAGAATAGTTTTGCAATGTGTATATAGTTGCAGGCAAAAAAAATCTCACTGCAAAACTTCTTAATTTTAGTCACCGATGGTATAAAGCAAAACTTAGGTTTAGAGTGTGCTAGGATTCCTGAAACCTGATGGTTATCTTTAAAATTGATGGTTTTTCTCCTGAAATGTTTGTGCATGGAAGAGCTGCCCTGCTTTTTTACCCTATTGCCATATATGATTATTCCTTGTGAGATTACTTAATTACTTGGATTGAAGACTAGTGTAGGAAATTGAAGCTGCTGCCAGGCAACACCACACAGAGTAACGTAAAGGAATTATTTCTGATTAAAGGATCCTCTTCAAACAGGAAGGGGTGATGGGAAACTTCTTTATTTTCAGCTCCCTAGCAGAAATAATTTTATTTCAGCTATATTTTATTTGTACATGAAGTGGTTACCTTAAGTAGCCTTCAGTTCCCCCACTGCCTTTTTAAATGCTTAATGTATTTAGTAGCAGCTTCAAGTGACCAAAAGACTAAAATCTTTGTTTTAATGTCCGTGCCAAAAGCCATGGGGAATTTTGCAGTGACAAGATTTTAGTCTCTCACTATGAACACATTTTTGAACCATAGTTTTCATTTTGAGCATCATCTTGAATTTGCAGACTTTTCTTTATATGTTAGTGTTAAAGACTTTGGCATTTTAATTTAATGAGGTAGATAATTTATGGTCAAGTTTCCTTTTTACAGAGAATTACTACTTTCTGGATGATCAGTCCAATCATATGGAAATTACTTTCTAAACATTAAGTTTTCCATTAAGATTTTCTAAGAGTTTATTTAGGTATGTAGATTAGACAAGTTTACTTCCACTTTTATCTGTTTTGCCTCTGGTGGTGCAAGGTTTTTAAGCATGGCTGGTAAAGAATTACCTAGAAATTCTGGTAAGATTTTGTAGTGGCAATCTGGCAGTATCCTTGCATAGCTATTTGGGTAAGGACATAAGTCAGTTCTGTTAAAGGTCAACCATGTTCAGGAAATGATCTCTGTCTGAACCTCAAACTGTAAGATTATCAGAGTAGCTTAGCCCAGCTAAATATTCATCAGAAATCTAAATTATATTTTTTAAAAATGTAACGGCTAAAAACTTGAACTAGAGCTTTAATTAAAAGTCTTAAATTCTTTGAAAACATTCAAGTTCAAAATGTTTATAAAATATATTTCTATTACAGAGCACTGAGAAATGATGCCATATGTGACTTGGAGTTATCTGAGGTCATTTTACAGCAAATCTTCATTAAAAAAAAAAAGCCAAAGTGAATAAGAAAAAGGTTAGATTTTGTATTTTTCAGAAACAACTTTTCAAGTTTCTTTTTACAGACTTAAGTTTCTAACTCAGGTTGTCAGAGTGGCCATCTGATTTTAGATTTTGATTTATTTTCATTTAAAAAAGTAAGCCTGCCACAAAAAATCATTTGACAAAATTTAAACTATACCAATTTTTTTCATGTTTGGTTATGTTAAAGTAGCACAGTAAATGCCTACAGTAGTGCTCTCATTAGTAAAGCACATGCATAGGGAGACCAGAAGCAAAGTATAACCAAATGTGTTTCGCTTTTACTTCCTCTAGAAAGGAATTTGCAGGCAACCATGTTTAATTGAATTGTCTAAGGTGGTAGATGATCTAAGCAGCTAGGGAAATAATTGAATTTTATAGCATTTTCAGAATACAAAAATAAGGTTAGCTATACAATCATTCTAATTCTTTCAAATTTCAGGATTCAGACTGCTCTTACTATTTTGGTATATGCTAACCACAAATGTGTAGTGGCGGAACAGCTTTTAGTAGTCCTGAACAGTAAACTGGATGATGGTGCACTAGAGAAACATCCATAATTTGCATTTGAGTTCTAATAGTTTATACAGATGTAGTCCTTTAGGTCTTGTATATCTTAATGCGTTTTTCCAGGCTCCTAAATATCCCCACATTCACTGTATCTTGGGGCATAGTCCATTTTACTCTTAGGATTATATCATGTCCTTAGAAGTGTCTAACATCTTGTGGGGGTTAATATTAATGTTTCTTTACTGATTATGAGACTTGTTCCCTCAAACTGGTTAGCATTGTCTCGTTGTTAAATAAAGGCAGAATGATTGTTTTGGCCTGCTCAAACTGATACAAGTCCATGAAACTGATTGGCATATGTTAAATAATAAATGAGAATGTCTGAGGCATATGCTGCTTTGGAGGTATAGTGAACGTGTGTACAGAAGCTTTCAGTCTTAACTATATAGTGTTAGTGTGATGCTATACTATTGGAAAAATAGCAACTTTTTTTCTATTTTATAAGTTGTACGCATAAACATAAGCTTTGTAATGTTTGATTTATAAACTGCCTTCTTCAATACATGCTTACCTGTTAATAGTGTTTTCTCCAAGTTTGATAGTATGTCTTCCAGAAGTTCATATATGCTTACAGTAAATAGTTCCTAGCTTGTTGAAATGTTAAATTTCTTGTTGGTTTCTTTTTTTATTTTTTGGGCATATAGCAAGCTTGAAGGACATTGTAATCATTTTGTACAGGGTGAAAATTTAGAAAGATTGTGTATGAGAGCCTATATAGTTATTTTATCCATTATCATCTTTGATTAAGATTTCTTTCATGTTTTGTTTTTAATAAAACAAATGCTATTTCCAGTTAATGCATTTGGCCCTACTGAAATTTCTGGGACCAGAAAACTATGAAGAAACAGTTCTGCATAACTAATTAAGTATCAGCTTGGGATTATTGTGAAGTATTAATTGCTTAAAAACTATTGTATATACAGTTGGCAAGGTCTCCAAGCTGAAAGTTTATTTTGTCTGAAAGAATTTGTATGTGAATGTTAATGAAAAACATATAAGCAAAATAAAATTTAAGGTGGTCCAAAACAAAAGCCACAAACAATTCCTCATTTGGTGCTTAGTCTTCGTAAGGGCTCTCCATGGTTTGACTTGGCCCAACTGCCTTTAAATGAGAACAGAGTCACCTTAAAACATGTTAATTTGATTCATTTACAAGAGAGATTAGTTCAATAATTTCATTGCAAATCTTAGTCTAAAGTAAATTCTTCAGCTTCTGATCAGCACTGAATAAATGTGAATAGTGAAGTGGCTATCCTGAACCTTGGTTTATCTCAACCCATATCACCATAGATCTCAGAAGTAAATACAGTTCTTATCTAGTGGTATTCTACTTGTATCCAGAATACTGTATTAATTAAAAGTTTACTATGTTCACTTTTGTATTCCCGTGCTTCTTTTTTTGCTCATGCATGTATCCTTAGTATAAATGTGTTGCTTTTAAAGTTGTCTGTGACTTTTAGAAATAAATTTCAAAAAAAAAAGTTTGAGAAGTGTTTGAAAGCACATTTTATTATTTTGTACATCAATGTCCAATACATTTTATAATTCCAAAAAAGCAACAGGATTTTACTGAGTTTTATTTTCTTACTAGTTATGTCCCCCTTTTGTAGTTCAGTCCTTATGTTTACTATAAAAGCATTCTGTTTAGTCAGATTCACATCATAGCTACATGTGATCCTTCCTAAAAATTGTAGAGGTAATATTTAAATTCAATCAGTGCTTTTTAATTGAGAACATTTTGTTTTCTACTAAGAAACATTTATGAAAGAAAAGGGTGTGACTTGCATCTGGTAGTCCGTTATTGAAAGATCTATATTCTCATTTGTCACTTGAGACCCCCCCAAAAAAATGCACGGACAGAAATTAAACTTTAGATTTTTTTAATTTACATACTTTTTAGGAAAAATATTTCTGTTATATTTTTGAGTGGGGGCAGGAGGTTGTGAAGAAAATGAATTACTTTTAAGGTTGATTTTTTTGAAAGCAGAGAGATCTTCCAATTGCTAGTTCACTCCTCAAATGGTCCCAATAGCTGGGGAACTCCCTCTGGACTCCCATGAGGGTAGCAGGAATTCAAGTACTGAAGCCATTACCCACTGCTTCCCAGGCACATCAGCAGGGAGCTAGATCCAAAACCAAGTAGTCAGAACTCAAATCCAGCATGCTAATAACAGTATGCAGGAAGGCAGGTCATGTAGCAAGTAGGGACTTAACTGCTGCTCCATAGCACCAGCCTATATTTTGTTTTTAAGGTTAGTTGATTGGCTTATTTATTTATTTACTTATTTTATTTAAAAGGCAAAGAAAAATCTTTTAATTGGTTCACTCCTCCAGTACATGCAATAACCCAGACTGGGCCAGGCCAAAGCCAGGAGACAGGAACATGATCTGGGTCTCATGTGGGTAGGAGGAACCCAAGTACTTGGGCCATCATCTGCTATCTTTCAGGCAAGTTGGCAGGAAGGTGGGTCAGAAATGCAGATGGGGCCTGATCTCATGCTGTCTGGAGTGGGATGGGGGTGTGCCAAGTGGTAAGTTAAACTACTTTGGGCCACAAAGGTTGCCCCACTGCTCACTTCTATTTGACATATTAAAAATCATTCACTAAGATGAATGTCATGGTATCAAGTAATTGTTCATAATATAATTTCTTTATACCAGTTCAGTTTTTATACCAGAAATCCAGTTGTCAGATTAGGATTGGCACCCCATGTCTGATAATCATTTGTCAGCTAACCCTTTTCTCAAAGGTTGCTGTTTCAGAGCTTATATCTTTTGAATGTTCATTCCCTACTTATGGATGGCCTAGCATCTCCTTGCTTCCTGACACAGTAGTAGGGTCTTTGCTACTCAATGCAGTAGCAACATCAAGGTGCAGTCTTGCCCTGTACTAGCAGCCATCTGCTCCAATCTATCCTTCCTATCTGATTTCCTTCTTTCTCCTCTAATGCCCCTTCATCTCTTCCTCTTCTAGATTCTTAATGCTGCAGTTTTGACTATCAAAATATCAATTTCACTGTGAGATCACAAAAGTTGTAAGTATCAAAATTCGTGTCTGGAATTCTTGTAGTCAGTAGTCTGCATTTTTAAATCCACATTCCTATAAAATCAAACATTTTTTTTTATAATGCAATCTCCTGATTCTACTGGAATTTGCATCTAGTACCTTCACTGAGCCATACATGTCTTTAACTCTAGATGCTGCATTTCTATAGAAGTAAGCTTAACAATAACAATTTTCTGCCACTGTTGTAAGGCAATTAACCTTAAAGTCATTAGGTGAATTTTTTTAAAAGATTTATTTATTTGAACGGCAGAGTTATAGACAGAAGGAGGAGAGATAGAGAAGTCTTCCATCTGCTGGTTCACTCAGTGGCTGCAACGGCTGGAGTTGGACCTATCTGAAGCCAAGAGCCAGGAGTTTCTTCTGGGTATTCCATGTGGGAGCAGGGACTCAAGCAGTTGCATCATCTTCCTCTGCTTTTTTGGGCCATAGCAGAGAGCTGGATCGAAAGTGGTACAGCTGGGACACAAACTGGTGTCCTTAAGGAATGCTGGTGCCACAGGCAGAGGCTTAGCCTACTATGCCACAGTGTGGCCCCCATTAGGTGAATTTTAATGTATCTGTAGCATCGACTTTTTATCTGTTAACTAGTAGTAAGTGAAACAAATGCTGTAAATGTTTGATCAACTTGTTTTCTTAAGGCTATATAGCATATCAATCATCATGCTATATTTAAAAATGAAGTAACATAGATAAGTTTAAAATTATACTAATTTTGGTATCATTGGCTTCAGTATTCTTATTTGTTAATTTTGTCAAAACAACCTATGTACATAGTTGTTAAAAATCAAATCATATTAAATGATTTATAATAAGTAAGTCCCGCCTCACCCTTTCACCTTTCCCTGTCTTCCAATTCTCCTCACCAGAATCACCTATTTTAAATCCTTTTAGCTGTTTCTTCTGGTAGTTATTTTCATATTTCAGAATACGCTTATACTGCCATTTTTGATTTATCATGCTTTAAATGAAGATTTTGTTCTTTTCCATTATCATCCTATACTTTCCATCTCTATAGCATTTTTATGTAAAGTCAGCACACAGCATTTCAATTTGTAAAAATTGTATGGTTAGATTTTTTTTTTTTAAGATTTATTTATTTATTTGAAAGGCAGAGTTACAGAGAGAAAGGGAGAGACAGATCTTCAAAACACTGGTTTACTCTTGAAATGGCCACGATGGCCAGGGCTGGGCCAGGTAAAAGTCAGGAGCCAGGAGCTTCCTCCAGGTCTCCCAAGTGGGTATAGGGGCCCAAGCTCTTGGGACATCCTCTTCTGCTTTCCCAGGCACATTAGTAAGGAGCTGGATTGGAAGTGAAGCAGCCAGGACATGAACCATTGGCAATATGGGATGCTGGCATCACAGGTTGGCGGCTTTACCCACTATGACAACACTGGCCCAGTAAATAGATTTTTTAAAATATTTAATTATTTATTTGAAAGAGCAACAGAGAGAGATGGAGAGGGGGAAGGAATGAGAGAAAGAGCAATATTCCATCTGTTGATTCACTACCCAAATGCCTTCAACAGCCAAGGCTGGCACAGGCCAACGCCAAAAGCCCAAACTGTATCCATATCTCCCACAGGGCTGGCAGGGACCCAGATACTTGAGACATCGCCCACTGCCTTAGCAGGAGGCATTAGCAGGAAGCTGGGTCTGAAGCAGAGATGCAGGCATCCCATATGGTGGCTTAACCCACTGCACCAGAATGCCCATCCTGCTTTAATGCTTATGGCCCTTTAAATGATTGCTCAACATGGGAACCAAATACTGTACTATGATTATTGTCCTTCTCATACGATTTTCCTTTTTTTTTTTTTTTTGATACGCTGATTTTTTTGAGATTTTATTGATTTATTAGACAGGCAGAGTTAGACAGAGAGGGCGAAACAGAGAACGGTCTTCCATCTGCTGGTTCACTCCCTAAATGGCCACAACGGCTAGAACTGGGCAGATCCAAAGCCAGAAAGCAGGAACCTCTTCCAGGTCTCCCATATGGGTGCAGGGGCCCGGATACTTGGGCCATCTCCCACTACTTTCCTAGGCCATAGCAGAGAGTAGGATTGGAAGAGGAGCAGCAGGGACACAAACCCTGCGCCGATAATATGGCATGCCAACACCACAGGCAGAGGTTTAACCTACTATGCCACAGCTCCAGCCCCAGTCTTTTATTTTTTAAGTTTCAAAATAGTTCATAGATACACTTCTAAGAATATAATTCAGTTTTTCTTAATAGTGTTTATTTGCTTTGTGTTCGTTTTTGTTTCCAAGGTATATTGTACATACATAAAAATTTTTCCAAATAATATATATATATCAAGCTATCAATTCCATTTACAATTATTTTCTTGGCAAATTCCCTTTTAGCCTTATTTTCTCCTGCTCAAATCTGAACTTATTTTCTCTTTAGGTCCTAGAATGTCTCTTTACTCTGCTGCTCTTAGTATATCTTATATATATCTTATGCCTGTATATCTTATGCCTTAATCCATTGCTTGGTTTAAGCACATTCTCTAAAAGTTTCCTAAGAAAGAATGCAAGGAGTTTATTTCTTGATATCTTACAAGATTAAAAGTTCCTTTATCATTCCATCCTGATTAATTGAAAGTTTGGTTAAGTAGGTTGAAAATAATTTTCATTGGTACCACTATTATGTTGTAGTGGTTTTTTTTTTTTTTTTTTTTTTTTGACAGGCAGAGTGGATAGTGAGAGAGAGAGACAGAGAGAAAGGTCTTCCTTTGCCGTTGGTTCACCCTCCAATGGCCGCCGCGGCCGGCGCGCTGCGGCCGGCGCACCGCGCTGATCCGATGGCAGGAACCAGGAGCTAGGTGCTTTTCCTGGTCTCCCATGGGGTGCAGGGCCCAAGCACCTGGGCCATCCTCCACTGCACTCCCTGGCCACAGCAGAGGGCTGGCCTGGAAGAGGGGCAACCGGGACAGAATCCGGCGCCCCGACCGGGACTAGAACCCGGTGTGCCGGCGCCGCTAGGCGGAGGATTAGCCTAGTGAGCCGCGGCGCCGGCCTGTTGTAGTGGTTTAAGCAGCCACATACAACACTAACATCCCACATTGGTTCAAGACTCAGCTGCTCTGCTTCCAATCCAGCTTCCTGCTAATGCACCTAGGAAGGCAGTAGAAGATGATCTAAGTACTTGGGTCCCGGTCACCCATGTAGGAGACTAAAATGGTGTTCTTGACTCTTGGCTTTGGCCTGGCCCAGACCTGGCTGTTGAGGCCATTTAGGAGTGAACCAGCAGATGGAAGAAATCTCTCTCTCTCAACCTCTCTCTCTCCCTCCTCCTCCCACAACCCATTATTCTGCTTTCCAAATCAATCAATCAATCTTTTTTTTTAAAGGTTTATTTATTTTTATTTGAAAGTCAGTTACACAGTTGGGGGGTGGGGTTCCATCCCATGGTTCACTCCCCAATTGGCTGCAACAGCTGGAGCTGTGCTGATCCCAGTCCAGGAGCCAGGAGCTTCCTCCAGGTCTTCCATGTCGGTGCAGGGGACCAAGGACTTGGACCATCTTCTACTGCTTTCCCAGGCCATAGCAGAGAGCTGGATCAGAAGTGGAGCAGCCGGGTCTCGAACTGGCACCCATATGGGGTGTCAGTGCTTCAGGCCAGAGCCGTAACCTACTATACCACAGCACCAGCCCCAATCAATCAATCTTAAAAGAAGAATTTTCATGATAATTTTGAAGGAATTGTTCTATAAATACAAATCACAGTGCACTATTTGGCCTTTCAGTATCTAATGTTGAGTTATGAAATGTAGTGCTTTTCTCAGTCTTCTTCCTTAGTATGTAATGTAATTGTATATTTTCATATTATATTTATGATATAAATATTTACTGCCAAAAAAGCAATAAAGCAAAGAAACATCCCTATATTGGACCTAAAAAAAACAAGTTCAGATTAGAGTAAGAGGAAAGAGGACTGAGAAGGGAGGGCTTCAGAAAACTAAGGGGAACATGTATTATATTTATATCATCACATCAGATATCCTCATTAATTTTATGCAACTTTTGATTTCTAAGAGATCTTTGTTATTTTCTGAAGTTTTACTGCTCATAGCATCCCATTTTAGCTTTATGATTGTGGAATTTTCTTTCATCTCTGTGATTCCTAACTGCAAATTTAAAAAGCTTTCTTCTGTGTTGCCCCTGTTTCCTCTGGGCCCCCATCTCTGCTTGTTTCAGCCTGTCTCTTTCAGGTTGGAGACACCATTTAAAGATCTACTGATTCTTGGATACGTACTCATATTTAAGAACTAAATAACTAAATGGAATCCCTGTGTGCCTGGTGGGGGTGGTAACAGATAGAGCAAACACAATCTTTGAAGAAAGTCAAAAATAAATTTCTGAAAACATTTTATCTAAAGACTTTCAATTTGTTCAGCATCCCAGGAAGAGGGGTAACAAGGATGTATGTAATTATCCCCAATTATATTCTGAGAGAAAGATCAGCCAAGGTATTGGTATGAGTTGAAATGTGTGCCCCCTAAATTTATATGTTGAAATCTTAACCCTAGTATCTCAGAATGTGACCTTATTTGGAAACAGAGCTGTTGCATATACAATTAGATAAGAGGCCGACCCCTGGTACTATATGATTGGAGTCCTCATAAAAAGAGAAGAATTGGAAACAGACACACACACACACACACACAGAGAGAGAGAGAGAGAGAGAGAGCAAGAACCTCATGTAAAGATGAAAACAGAGATCAGAGTGATGCAGCAGAAGACAAGGAACATCAAAGATCTCCTGCAAACCACCTGAAGCTAGGAGACATGGAACAGATTCTACCTCACAGCCCTCAAAAGCATCAACTGAAACCTTGGTCCTAGACTTCTTTGTCACACAACTGAGAGTGCATTTCTGTGAAGACACCTAGTTTGTCAGGTATAATACTTTGTCACAAGAGAATGAGGAAATTATTACATATAGTTCAATGTATAATCATTGTT